CAATCTACTTCGTTAAAGCCTCATTTCACTGGAAATTTTATAGATGATTGGTACTTCGATTTACCCAAATCTTCATTTCTAACTTCCCATGTTTCCACATCCAATAATTGTGCCATTTTATCATGTTATAGGTATTTGGGAGTACAACTAAATCCTCATTTTGGGTATCAACATCAAGTATGTTACATGGTTTTAGCATTCACATGCCATGCTATCACATGATGAACACATAATCTTATAACAAATGATTTGGTTGGTTTGTGTAGATTCTTCTTTCTTAGGGTTGGAATGATGGGACGGATACTCACCAATTTATCAATTCTAGCAAAAAGTGTTCAACTCGGAACTTTTTCTCTGTCAATGATCCTATTCCAACTCTTCTGTTGGTTAATTCTCGATTCTTTACAATTAATGTATAATTATTATTATTATAGTCAGATATTACTAAAATACCCTTTTTCATCATCTGTATTTCAGATACATGTTATGGACTTCCTTTATCATGACGACAACTTAACTGGCTAGTAAGTACCATTCACCTACACATGAATAACCTATATAATCTAAATATTTTCTATAATAATCTGTTTTCATCTCCTAAAATTTTATAAATTTACTCCTAATATAAAATCTTACGTCCGTCCTGGATTTATTAAACTTACTTTTATTTTAATTTCATGCTATGGTTGTTTTTGTACTATAGCTGGGACATGATCGCTGAGAGATTAGGGTTCATGTTGATTCTTGGATATCTTGTGTGGGCTGCTTTCATAGCTACCATCTCAGTGAGCAAACTACAATAAATTCCTTTCCAACAGAACATTAAATTCAGAAATTACCATAAAGTTCTAAATTACTACACTTTTTGTTATTGTAGGGTTGGTGGCTTTTGTACAACAAAGTGGAGCTATCGACCCCAGCTGCAATAGCAATTTGCATAATTTATCTAATTGGGTAAACATTTTTCACCGTTTTAAACTAAAGGATTAGGGAATAATTAGCCAAGCAAATGAAGTAAATCATTTTAACCTAAAAATGTTTTTTTTTTTGGCAGTGTTGTTGGATATAGAGGAGCCAATAGTCAAAAACACCAGTTCAAATTGAATCCCAAAGCACCTATCTGGGGTAAGCCCCAAAGGTTATTGGTGGGAAGTTGCTAGCTTCAGGCTATTGGTAAGAACTTAATTATTTATTACAATCTCTTTTCTATCAACGAATACTATAATAAATTTCGGGTTAAAAACTACTCGACTCATATTTCTAGTTTGATTATGTTGGTAAAGGGGACTTGCAAGGCACTATACTTGCTATCACTTTCTTTCAGTTTGGTTTGCGGGTTCAGTAATTTTTTTTCTTCAAATTCTTGTATGGAAATAATAATCATATATATTTAGTACACAAATATAAACAGATGAACAATTTTGTGTGGGAAATGCATTCATTTTGCAGCTCTCCAATTCCATACTTCTACCCCATGTGTCTGATCGTGTTTTTCGTATCAAGAGAGAGAAGAGATGAAGCCCGTTGTGCAGAAAAATATAAAGAAATATGGGCAGAATACTGCAAAGTTGTTCCATGGAGAATTTTGCCATATTTGTATTAATCAACATAATGTTGCAGTAGCTGTTGGGACTATTTACTTTGATTTGATTGTTCTTGTTATTTTATTTTATTCATTTGCAAACCAGGGGGGAAGGGAGCTTGATTCTTGAATCCCTTGTTTGTAGTTTAATAAACTGCATATTTGAGATCAGTTGCCCTGCCAACTTACTCGATAAGAAATGAATTAAGAGTCCTGACTCTTGTTTTACATCTAGTTTTTGTGGGTGAGAATTCTAACAATGATTTCAGCAGACACAAAAATTTCGAACTCGAGAACTACATAATTAATATCAAATTATTTATCACTTAAATGAACCGTTGAATTAAGAAACCTACTTTGTGCCCCCTAGAAGGTAACATTACTACTGAAAAGTTGTCCAAGGAAGGTATTGGCAGGGGAAATAAAGGCCGAATCTTTTGAGATGAAATTGAACTGACTTTGACTCCACAACCTAAAGCTACTAGAGCTGATGAACTGTATTCGTAAATTTTACAATTTTAAGACAAGCTACTAGAGAGATATATTAGATATGTATATTTCAATCATCGTCAATCGTGATTATTAATTAATATAAAAAAACAGCTTGCCTTATGGTATATCCACGTGAGGCGTTTTTATATTTGATATGCAATTATTTATCAAATATAATCATTTCCTTACTTGTGTGAATATATTACTTTAGTGTATATATTTTATATTATAAGTCCATTGACCCGAACCGGTCGAGTTTTATTTAAAAAAAATCGGATTCAGATCGAGTTGGATTTTATATATAATATATTTGGGTTTAGGTTAGGGTCGGGTTTAGGGTCAAAATAACCCGACATGACCCGACCCGGGAACTTTTAAATTTAATATACGTTTTTCCATGTTAACTATCTGACACTATATCACTAAAGTAACCCTACCCTACCATGTGCAGACATACATTGTACCTAGTCCCTGGCTCCTGCTCACTCACATTTTCGGATTTTCCCTCCCATTTCACTTTACCTTCTCCAAAGCTCTAAGCCACTTTTCGACGATCTGGTCTGTAAGTATTTCTAACTTTTTTTTTTATAGAAATTTCACTCTTTTATAATTTTAATTCATCTTTAGTTATCACTAACTAACATTTTAATCTATATTTATGTTTGAAATTTAACTTGTTAAACTATATTATGGACTTGTAATTTTAATTATCTTGTATTTGAACTTATTTTTTCTTGATAGATTTGTGTTTATAATTTTTTTTTTAAAAATTCGAATAAAAAATAATTTAAAAAATTTGGGTCGGGTCAGGTTTCTCGCCAATGAATCGGGTCGAGTGGAGAAATTAATTTTCGAGTCGAGTCGGGTGGGTCGAAAATCTGACCCGGCCCATGCCCATCCCTACATGTAGGATCCCAAACGTTAATTAACAAAAATTTCAAACCTTTTATTAGTAAAAATAACCACATAAATATGGGAAAATAACGGCAGAATATTTAAGATGAAATTAAACTGACCTTGACACCAGAACCTAAAGCTACTTTAGCTGATGAAATATATCGATTTAAGTTCCTAAGAGGAAGTCTTTAGCATGTGTCCATTGTCGACCAGTGGTTAGGATATCTGGCTTTTACCCGGGAGACCCGGTTTCAATTTCCGGCAATGAAAAAAATCTTTAATCTTTTTACAATTAAGATCTGCACCACCACGGCTTATAACACAACCAAAGCTGTATAGATCCGTGTAAATAGTAGTAAACCAGTTCTAAAGTTAAATCGTCTACTTTCTTTCCTTGCTTCAAATATATATATATATTAATATATATATATATATGTTTTGTATTTATTGAGAAAATAAATAAATAATTCTCATAACATCATTTTGCATACATTTGTTAATGATGTTCTATTTGGGGTATCATGTAGGATGCTACATATTTGTGATTAGGGTTCTATTTTCATACGTGTTTAAGGGTTACATGTATGGTAAATCAGCTTAACATTTATAATCTAAGTCAAGAGTTGAGCTATAGACTTTCAAGTCTTTGGAGCCAATCTGCATCTGGTTTTTACTTCCTAAAATCCTCCCAAGTGTGAACAAGTTAATAGGGGCTGGTTTCCCTCTTAAAACCCTATAGTTTAAGAATCAAAAATCACGTTTTTAACACTTTGATCCTTAACCAAATGACCATCTTTTTAAGTGATTATAATTCTGCTCCCAATACTTATCATCATGGGTCCTTGGCCATATGGCTTTCATTTGAGTGATTTAAATCTTGTTTTCACCACCTTTCATCCTTAATGGCTCTCTCTCAGGTCACTAAAATAATTTTTTTTACCACACATGTTCCATAGTCATGTGGTCTTTTTTTTTAAATTCTAAACAAAATGATGAAAATAGTTGTATATTTTTTAACCTACTTTTAAATACCTCGAGCTAGTAATCCTAAACATACTAAAATACTTGAACAAGATTTAATAACTAGATGTACGAAAAGGCTTTAAATATTTGCTGAACAAACTTTTGCAGCTGAATCTGTTAAACACAACGTTTTGCCTTGTTTGAATTTAGGTTAGGTTAGAACAGAGACATATCTTTTAAAATTTCACCAAATATAAGTAAAGAAAAGTTCCTACCACTTCCCTGTCATTTTTCTTTTCTTTAATTGGTTGTTGATTGATTTTAATTTTTGATTATATTTTAACTTATTTAAAATAATGTTTTCTTTTGGCCCTTCTTCTAGTAAAATGTATCATGGTTGCTGATGCTTTTGGACTCGTGCAAGCTTCTTTCATTAGTCTTCTTTTTTGTCTATAGTTCTCCATGATTTCATGGTGGTTGCTTTCTTGATGTCTGATTCCTTTGTTTATTTACATGACATTCTGTTGATTCTTAAATGTATGTGTCATACGAGACTATAGTTAAAGTAAGATTCATTTTCATTCGTTCACTTCGAATATTCATGTTTTCCTCCTCTATGTTTGATGCTTTGGGCCGTCGAAACGATTCATCTCTATATGTCTTTTCCTCAATTGTTAACACTCTTGCTCAGGCTGTCATTAGTCGATCATCGTTATATTTTGCATATAATATACATGAATGTATTTGCCCTGTATGCATATGACAAGACATTGCTGATGATGTTTTCAAGATTGGAGTACAATTCTGCTTTGATACCAATTGGGTTTGGAGAATTGTTGTGAAGAGATAATGGCTACCTTCTGATTATGCTGATGTCCCATATCGTTTGTTTGTGATTGGGATGCGAAAATGGTGCAATGAATGCGCTGGAACAGAAGAAATAGCAAAGATCCTAATGACGGAGTGCTTGCTAAATTAGCTCTCAACTTCGTAATGTACTTTATAAGATTATTTCAAAACTGAATACCAATAGGCTTCCAGTTGTCCTGTATAGATGAAGCGTTTTTATTATGGGAAAACTGATTTCGGAAAATGTTGTTACTGTAATATAAAACTCTTCACTCTTTCAAAAAGAAGAGAGTTTGTCAATTGCTTGAAACTAAATATGAGAACAGCATACGATCACGTTGAATGAGATTTCCTCGAGGTCATGATGCTTCACTTCACTTGGGGTTCCATCTCCAATAGGCTTAATCCTTATTAAATGGTTTTGAATGGTGAATTTGGTGCGGTGTTCCAAAAAGAAATGCTTGAGTCAAACATTTATCAAATTATTAATGGAAATAATTTTTTAATAATCTGAGGTGATTATAAGGTAGCATCTGCTCAAAACTTTCTTAACTAATTGACAACACGTCTGCCGCTACAGGACCTGTTGAGAGAACAATATTCATTTTTACCACTTTGATGAGTTAAAATGGAAATAAATTTTATGCAGTATAAATAATCATGTAAATGATATTATATGAGTTTAAGTTGTAACCTAACCTGCAATTCGGCTTCCCTTTACCTCAAAAGAGTAGGCTATCTATTAGTTCTAGCATTATTTTTCTACCTTAAAAGAGAACGTAGCGAAGATGGATACAGTAATCACTTATTTATTTACATTTACTTTTACATAATATATACATTGATAAAATTATAAATTGAACACTATATTGACATGGATACAGCTTAATAAGAGTAAGGGTGAACAAACTATTTATATCGATTTGATTTAATTTGAATTTTATACATTTTATTTGACTTAAAAAATTATAAATAAAATTTGAATGATAAAATGACTCGTTTGCTCGATTACCTCAATTTTTTTTAATTCAAGTCAACTCAACTAGCTCGAATATTCATTCTTAGTTCTTCCTACCCCTAATTCCCCCATCCTTTAAAATCAATTTTCACAAATTTTGAATCACATGCTCCTTTAACACTATTGGATATTTATGTAACTTAAGTTCATATTTTTAACAACAAATTTACTCCTCCGGTGATTTAATCTCTCAACCTTATATTTTATTCAATTTAATTTTTTATTACAATTATTTGTGAATTATTTCTTCCCATCAATTCATAGACTCCTTTATCCTCTCATCACTACTTTTCTCCAAAATACCTTCTTTAAAAAATAAATTTATAAATATATTTTATAATTTTTTATGATATTTGATTTATAAATTAACATTGCGCTATGACAAAATATATATCTTATAAAGTTATCAAAAGTCATTCAATTGGACCGTTCCACACCATAACAATATAAATATCTACAATTAAATTTGAACAGAAAACTCGATTCAAATTTTATAAATTTGGTTTAACTCTAAAAGATTTCAAATAAAGTTTGATCCTAAATAAGACTCCTCAACTCGACTAATTCAAAATTTTTTAACTTAACTCAATTAAATACAAGCTCCTAAATAGGATTTGTTTATATCAAAAGTCAACTAACAGAATTTATCTCCATTTAACATTTGACAAATTTTAAGACAATTGTTAAATTATTTTTTAATATAATAAATATCTTATATTTTTGTTAGCAATTACTTAATTATTATTCCATATTCAAACACAATATTAAGAGATCTGCATACAAAACTTTTAGTACTAACATAATCATTGGTTGAATAATTTTTTTTTAGATATGGTAAATGTGGTAATTTTGACCACCTAAAACTTATATTTTTTGGGGGGCTAATTTGATATTTCCTGCAGTTGGTATATTGTATGGGATTAAACAAGGAGAGAAGAGGGACATACCGGAGGGTTTAACTTACGTACTACGTTCCTGCACCAAACAGGGCAGCTTTGTTCAACCCTGCAACCAACAGAAGGCTCTAGTGAGAGATTTTGCTAATTAACCCAGTTGATGAAAAGTTGGCATACATTTCATCCTTCACCTATTAACTGGAACAATAGTCTACAAACTTCCTAATAAACACTCAAAACTATGCAAATATTTTTCATCCTCTCATCCTTCCAATTCCTTCCAACTTATTTATTTATTTTTATTTATTTATTTTTTTGCTTAATGAGCATCCCATGAATGCAAGTCATCGCAAACATTGAAGTCGAGACCATGGACAACTGTCTAGAATTAAAATCCATGTACCGAATGTTGGGTGTCGGAGTACAGGTGCAGTAAGACACGTTACACTCCCAATGAGAAAATCCGTGTACGAACTTTGAAGATGTCATTGTTGGAAGAACTAGCCCTGAACCCCGAACATAGACCGTAAAACAGGTATGTAAGATATCAAAATCCATGTAAAATACGGTCTCTTCTCAGCAGATGCGTCGAATAAAAATTTCCAGTGACTGCAGTTCAAGATAGGCAGGCATCAGCAAAACCAATGTCGTCAAGGCCGGCGTCTAAAGGCACCTAGTCGATGCACCTTAGAGTTAGACAATAAAAGCCAAATAACAGGCGCATTTGATTAAGCACGTACAGCTAAAAAATACCAACCAATTGAACTTTTCTTTAACTTCTTTGCCCCATTAGATGAATCGGATTATATCAAACTCTAGTTCTACTTGTCCATTTTTGAGTACTCTACAACAAACATGGGATCATAAGGTAATCATATTGGCCAACAAAATTAAAGGAAAATTTTACAGGTTCTGCAAATATATTGGATCAATCTTTAAATTATCATAATTATACATCTTAAGACTATTAAATGTATATATAAAAAAAATACACATGCATTTTGCATTTTACTACACTCAAATGAGGGCATTTTTGCGCCTGGTGCATTTGGTAATGAGGTTCTAGTGCATAATATGTGCCTTGAAAAGGATGGGCTAAAAAAACCAAAGAGGTAAACAAATGGCATATATGATGATGCATGTTTGTACAAAAACTTTATATTCCAAAAATGTCAAGCGGTAAGAAAATAAAACTGGTTACAGATTCTAAGAGAAGGAACTCATCTGCAAGTGTTATATACAACAACGATGAACACGGATAAGTAATTCATCTTCCAGATGTTGGCAAAACCACTTCATGTGAAAAGGACTTCATCACACCATCGGCTTCTATTTGAGAAAACTTTGCCCACAACCTGAAACGGTCATCCATGTCCACAATTTATGGCAAATATTAGTCATTGTTTTACCGATGACTGCAATTTCATATTAAAGATGCAACACATTCAGCATATCCCCAAGCTTCTTAAAAAGGGCTCTGCAATTGAGATGACTCGATCCCAGGGAGACTCCAAGTTCATTTAGATATTTAATTACAGTTAAAACCATTTCATAAAGATGAATGTATATATATATATTTTTTTATAGGAATAAGGCCTCATTAAAAAAACCCTTCATAACTATTAAGTTTTGTAGAACTCCATAGTCATTGGAAGAGGGAAAAGAGTGCCCAGAATTTTACTACCAAACATAAGAAATAAAGATGAATGTATATATATATAACCCTTCAGAAAATATTCAAGAAGGTTTGATTTTTTCTCATTTTTAACAAAGATAACCTAAATACCCAGGATACAATCAAAGATGTCAAATCTGAAGCTGTTGATCACATAAAATTCTTAACCTCAAAACCACAGGCCAAATATAAATTAAAATATAAAAAGGGCAGTCAAATATATCCTAGTTCAGTAAATAGTTCAATAATTAGAGAAACAATTGCCAATATACCCTTTCAAATGCTCTGCCAAAACACATTGGTGAATTCACTACCAAAACTTCTGGTAGCACAATCCATGTAGGCATTGAGAATGTTTAACAGAACCCACTCCAAGCTTCTCTGCCAATGAGCATGTTCAAGCTACATTTAATCACAAATTAAGGGCAAAAAGAACTTGTAAGTTGAAATAACAAGTATAGCAAATTAATACAATCTGATCAAAGCATCATTAAGAATAAATAAATTGGAAAAAAATGCATGTATTACGTCCCATCATTCTATTTTACTCGACTCACCACACAACCAGATGGCAATGTTTATATAACTTCCCATACTTATAGAGCACATGTCTTACTAGCATAACTGTTGACACAGAAAAACAGTTCAAGATGAAATAACATATACAAACACAAATTAATAAATTAATAAAAACCATTTTCTTATATTTTTATTTATTTTTCTCTTTTTCCTTCTTTCATCACAACATAACCAAGTCTTATACCCGACTCCCCCATCTCTCTCAACCCACCCCCGAGATTTCACTCTAGGCAACCTTGTCTCCTCTGAGCAAGAGATTCACAAGGATTTCTTATTACTAATAGTGGCAAACTGTTACTTTACCTTGTCCCAACTCCCAAATGTCTTGCTTCATATGCCCTTTTAGCTTTTTTTCTCGCTTTGCAGCAAGACAAGACCATGGGCTTCATTGATGTTGCAGACACTTGGTAGTTATTAGGTAGGACTCTTAGGAGAAGTTGTTAGAACGGGCTCACAGAATAAAGTTGTTTTAGGACTTAAAAAGAAATTGATATTGATGGGACTTCATATAATTTCTAATATTTAATCTTATTTAAAGAGACTTACAGAATAAAAAATGGCAGAATTTCTATCAAAACCCTAAAAAAGATTTGAGTCTCTCTTTAACAAGTCCTAAGGTTTCAGTCTCCCATCAACGAGCTGAGAGATTTCAGTTTCTCAGCAACAAGCTGAATCATCAATCCCAAACACACGATCATAACAATCGAATTGGGACCAAAAATATATGGCTTGAAGCAACTTATCAGATGGAAACCCTATAGAGCCCAAATTTGGCAACAGCCATAAGATCAGTGAAGAACCTAGCAACATAAATAGGACTCTTTTCCCCCGTAATTCTACTTCTGTTTTTGGTCTATTAAACTTTGTTACTGAATGCTTTCTTCTGGTTCTTGTACTATTTAACCTTCGAGTAGATGCAGAACAGGAGCTTCCATGTTTCTTTAGATTAATAAAATCATATTAATAAATTATTTTCACACACATATATATAGTCAAAACAACTAACACAATTGCATACCATGGGGCATCAAATTGTTGCTGACTTCTCAAAATGAGTAACAAATCAAGGGGATGGCCTACACAATAAATACAGTAGATAAGAAAACAGAAATCCAAATCAATAGAAGCCTGTATAAATCTCATTAACAAAAGGTACAATCTTCATCACCTACATATTATATGCATGCATGCTAGTTTAAAGATCCACGACACCTGAACAAGAGCAAGAATGGTTAGACAAAAAGTGAGCAGAGAATAGTAGGTAGCATGTCTACTTTATTTTATTAAGGTGATTATGTTTTCCTCAGAAAGCAAGAAATTCAATGCAGACAAGATCACAGAGTTAAAAAATGAACATCCATAAATCCCATTGCATCTTACTTCTTTGAACCACAGTTGCAAGGAATTTTTTTCTCCTCCAAAGGAAACTTGTAGTTATAAGTAACTTCTTCACCAGCAGCAATATGACGTTTTGCATAAATGAATATCTTCTTTTGGCCTTCTACGCTAATAACTTTTGTGTAACAATTAGGCTGCAATTCAAGTATTCCAAATCAGCAGCATCAATCAATCATGAATAGCAATAATGAACAGAGCTACATCTTCACATACCTCACAAGAATGGTTTATAAATCTAGCAACCCCACCACGCTTTGTAGCATCAACCTATACATTGAAGTAGTATACCAGAAGTCAATAGATTGGCCCAAAAAAAAGGAAAGGATGCTCCAACCATAATGCAGCTTAAACCAAGACCCGCAAGTTAAAAATTTGATTAACTTACTACATATCCGTCATCAAGTCTAAATAGATAACTGCTACCAATTCCCATCTTCTCATAATACTGTTCCCGTATATCAGAAATCTACAACATTTAAAAGCATATTCAATGATCATTTGTGAAAAGAAGAGGAATTGCAAGAAATTAGACTGAACAGGAAAACATACAAGTCAAACCTACCCTCGAACGAATTAACTCCCCGACATATTCAATGACAAAGTCCTCAGCCTCAATTGGCTCAAGCGCAATGAGACCCCAATCATGTATCTTGCTTCGCTGAAAACGTAGACGCTTTTTCCTTGCCTAATAAATGAAGCAAATTTAAAATCAATGTCAGATCAAGACATTCCAAAACCATGGTATTTAAATATCATGATGTTAAAATCACCTTCAACTGTGTAACTTTCAAGAGATCAGCACCCTCTGCAGCAGCCAGAAGGTTGCGCATCTTCACTCTGTTAGTTCGTGCAGAAAGAGCTTTACTGTTCAACAAGTGTGCAGTACTATTAACCTCAGGACCTGAATACTTCATGTTAATACACTGAATTCCTCTAACACGAGCTCTTTCAGAGGGACTTGCATTTAGAGACCATTTATGCCACTCCCAGCCAATAATTGAAGTTCGTGCACATCCATTAGATCTAGGACAGGGATTTGCAGTCCTGGATCTAATTTTGCAGGTCTTTTGATCTGTAACCCCTCTAGATGAAGAACATTTGCTACCACCACTAGCTACTTTCTGTAGCTTGATTGAAGGTGATGGATGCTCATCATTATTTAATTTCTTTCTTTTTACCCCTGATACCTTCTTTGCTGAAGATAATAACAGAAATCAAGAAAATTTAATATATGCCATTATTTGACATAAAAAAAATAATATAAGGGGGAAAAACCTTTTAGTGTTTTCTTGGAGGAATCATTAGTAAGCTCTCCTTCACTTCCAACAGTATTGTTACTCCTGCCTACAATATTCCCATCACAATTCTGAAAGGCTGATGCTGTTTCCCTGCAGACTTTAACAGCACCTTCTCCAACCAAATTTTCTGCATAACATAGTTAATAACCATTGCCTTCTCCAAGTTCATTATCATCTTCTGCATAACCAAGAACTTATCAGAAGAAAAAAAAAACATACTTTGAACAGTAGAAGCATGCTTTGATGTTTTCTGATAAATTGCACTCTTGGGTAATGAGTGGTCATTGAGCAAACTCTTCTTAGTTTCTGCATAACATAGGTAATAACCATTATTATTTCTAAATTCATTATCATCTTCTGCATAACCAATAACTTATCAGAAGAAAAAAAACAACATACTTTGAACAGTAGAAACATCCTTTGATGTTTTCTGACAACTTGCATTCTTGGGTAATGAGTGGTCATTGAGCAAGCTCTTCTTAGTTTCTGGACAACATAGTTAAGGACCATTATTATTTCTAAGTTCATTATCATCTTCTGCAATATTAAGAAATAACCGGAAGAAAAATGGCATACTTCGAACAGCAGAAGCATCCTTTGATGTTTTCTGATCACTTGCACTCTTGGGTGATGAGTGATCATTGTGCAAACTCTTCTTAGCTATGATTTTTGATGACCCAGAAATATTAGATGATTGAGACATACTTTTATTTGTCCCAATCTTTTTAGAAGGGGCATCAGTTAGTTTTGGATCTGCATGATCTAACAAATTATTGGAAGAATCTTTCTTCCAAGGCCTTTCAACAGGTTGATCCTGTGACCCATTGATAATCATGGACTGAGAAGGTCCTACCTTTTTATGAACCAACTTTTTCTTTCGGTAATATGTACATGTACCAGTCGCTAAAGATACCTCTGAGGAACCTGAACTGATAGACTTACTTGACCCCTCCCTGGGCTTATCTCGTGGGGCAGAAAAACCAGCAAGAGTTTTCTTGTCTCCACTAAACTTCTTTTCATGAGGCAAATTAAAAGTTACAACAAAATATTCAACCCAATATAAAAATCTATGTGATTAATTGTTAGAATAGAAGGTACAAAGTAGCGATTGTTACCTTTTTGCCATCAGCCTCACTCTGTTTCTTCAAACTACGCCATGATACAATAACCTGGTAAAGACTAGCATTACTAGCAAATGATGATTTCCACTCTCTTAGTACATCATCATGGAGCTTCTGCCGACAAATTGCCATGGCAACATATTCTCCAATCTTAGGGCCACTCTCAACTGTAGTTGAAGGTCGAAATTTACAAATGTGTGATGGAACAAGAATCCAGAATTAACCTCAAGTCCAGGAGGTGATGGCTCATCAACTTCTTGTTCATTACTTACATCCACAACCTTTCCAAACAATCTCTTAAATCCCCCAGCCATAAAAGTTCCATCCCTTTTAGTATAATCATTTTCAGTTATAGACTGACAACCAGGCTTCTGTGATTCTATTGAGTTCAGATTGGCAGATAAATCTGACAATTTGATCAAAACATTCTTTTTGTCTTCACAGCCGTCAGAAGTATCAAGATCAGAAGAAAGATGGCACTGACAGGAAGATCCAACCGTGTCTTGCAGCTGTAAAAGAAAAATTATTTGTTTAAATTCTGGAAAGATATGATCCTGGTGTGTTATACATTTTTTTTTGATAGGATCCTGGTGTGTTATACATAAAGCACATATTGGGCTGTAATTGGAATGAGAGAACCTAGTATCAATAGAACAGTTTAAAAAATGTAATGAAAGAAAATGAAGAACAGGATATACCTTTTGTAACTCTTTCAATTCCTCATCTATCGACAAATTGACTGATTTCTCTGTGTCCTCTTTATTAGGATTTTCATTCAATTTTTCATCATTTTCCAGATCAATCACTAATTTGGCTTCACTTTTAACAAGATTGTTAACATAGTCGGCCATAAACACCATCGCAGAAAAATGGAGCTCATTTTCAACACCTTCCAGGATACATTGTATGCCACCATAAAGGCCATTATTGTGCAATGGACTGTTCTGTTTGGATAAAGTTTCCTGCACTGCAGATGAAGATATATGCATCTCTTCTGCATGGTTATCTACAGAAACTGTAGCCAGTTCATAACCAGGTGGACAATCAATATCATGAGCCATCAATTCCTTCCCAGAGAAGAGCTGTAAAACCATAAAGCATTAGACTCAAGTTCATTACATACTATTTACACACAATCGAATAAAGACTTTACTTACAGTTGTAGCTTTTACATTTTCAGTCTCCTTGCCATGATCAAAGGAGCCACTAGCAGATGCCATAACATTAGGCTGACCAAACCAAAGTTTTCCCCTTCTCCAGGAAGATAAATATTCAATAATACTATCATAAAAGACTGCATTCCATGTAACTTCCATGCAATACTCAAAAAGCATCTTACAAACAACTGAATAAGAACCCCAAAAATTTTCAATGCTTCCCACGGATTTTAGACGTGCATCAAAATCAGTAGATTCTTGAATTGAAGGACTAGATACATCATGGGAGCCTGCTGTGCCAAACTTGGGAGTACAACGAATACTTCTTTCAGGGGTATTTTTAATCTGTATACCAAACGAGCTTCAGATTTTAAGAAAACAAACATCAGATTTTTTTTATTGAGTGATTGCATACATTACCAGTTTTCCATCAGAACTTTTAACATCTTGGTTGCATGATTCAACCATTAGATGCCTGTCAGATTTTTTTGCAGCAACAAACTCTGAAATCATAGTGGTGATTATTTCATCTAGCATAACTCTACGAGCTGCTTGCATAATTCGAGAATGCAACTCAGAAGAAACTTCTTCAGAAATTGCCGATATGAAGTTGACAGCTGACTCGTGTTCATTTTCAACAACAAACTGACCACCTTTCCAAGCATTTAAAACAGACAACAAGTTGGTGGTGCGAAACCTATCATTAGCATGATAAATCTGCAAAATAATAATTAAAACAAAAGGAGATAAGAAGAAAGAAACCAAGTAAAGCTTTGATGCATCATGCCATCCTACCACCACAGGTGAACTAGGTTTGCTAGAGCTCATAGGACCCAATAGTTGAAACTTGAAACAAAAGATCGTTCATGCAAATAAATCATGACTCAAGAGTTTCAAGGCTTACCAAAATAGAATCTCCAAGATAACCACTGCAATGCCAAGAATACAATTGCAAAAGGGAATGAGGCCCGTGTTTCCTACTCTCACCATCTTCAAACAACCAACATACATCTTCACCTGACTGGAATAAAAAAAGAAGTGAATCATTCAGAAGAAGTCCTATAAAAAACAAACTAGCAACAAAATGCTAGGTGCTCAAGAGCTTACACTGCAGTTGAATTGAGAGGGGAAAGGGGAAGGAGTGTGTTGGACACTGGTAAGGGAAGAATTTAAATAACTGGAAGCTGTGGTTGAAGTGAGACAAACAAATCCTGTAGCAACATGATCAGGGAACTGCCTAAAGTACTTTAAGGGAACAGGATTTATCAAAGTCCCATTGACCATAGGATAAACAGGGAGCTCATCCGGCAAGAAACCAGTCGACAAACCATCGTACAACTGCTGCTGGATATAAGGACCACACATCTGCCCCTGCTCATTGACATACATCCATCCACTCACATAAGAAGAACAAGAAGAAGATGGTTCATTGCTGAAGTAACTGTTGCCTACGCACGAAGATCCACCGCCATTACAAGAATGAGGAATACCACTTTTATTGCCGTTAGACTGGCAACTCATCTCCGTTGCGAATTGCTCATCACTGCCAAATCATGAACATGAATATAAAAAAAATATGAAAGGGCCGACAGCTGAATCAACAATAAAAAAGAATATATTAATAAAATACCCGCGAATTGAAGATGCCAAGTGGGCGGAGGGATCTGAAACTTTAAGGAGCTTTCTGGAAAAATATGGGTGATCATATTTGCCAATGGGGGATGTTGAGGACACCATTGATTGACTGGAATCAATTCAAATCTAAGTCAATTGTTCATAATTGTATTATTACTAACTAATACAAAAAAAAAAGCTAAACTAAAAAGGGGTTAAAAGAAAGAAAATTATTGTGACGAGATCTATTTATCTTGAATCTGGAATAGAAACACCCAAATTCCGAAGCATCTTTTTTACACATACCAGTTGCAAAAGTATGAACCATTCAACTCTATTGCATGCCCATCCAATGCAATCTAATCGTCGCCGCAATCTGTACAACTCCGGTGGTTGTTGGTTTCAAATCCGACAAGGGTAGCAGGGGTTTCGATAGAGAGAAATTTGCTGAATTAGGGGAAAACCATTACGCGCCACCGGCGACTGATTTGGGCTGTTCCTATTGTTCTTTTCTTTCTTGGGTCACAAAGCAGAGCAAAGAAAAATTGTGCCCACCCCTCTCGCGCAAGTGAGTCACTTCTGACTCGTTCCGTTGTTTATTTTTATTTAATTTTCTTCGTACATGCATTAAAACCACTCCAAACGGAACTGGGCAATTCGTATGAGATTTCAGCTGTTCTTTTTCTCGACTTCAATCTCAAGCCCTATTTCTTTCTTCTACGATCTTACTTTTTCTGCGTTTGTTTCAGGCCTCTCTCCTATGATTTTCATATTAATTATCCACTCATTTCTTGGGCTCATTTTTGGGCCTATGAATGATAGATTGCTTGTTAATTAATCATAATAATTAATTTTATTGAGTAAATAAAGAAAAAGTATAATAAAAATCATATATTTGAAAAAAAATATAATATCTATAATAAATTAAGTATATCAACGGATCACTTATCTTAAAATCATAAAAAAAAATGTACCCTAGCCGCTCTCCCTGGATTTTCTTTAAGATTTTCTTCCCCCGTTTTGTTTTATTTATTTGATCGATAGCGATATTAATTTTAGTGTTAGTTATTAATCGTCATACTTCTTATTTTTTATTTATTTTCTTAAATTATATCTTATTTTTTATTTTCAATAATTATATTTTTGTTACATGTTTTTTTTACTTTTGTGGCACATTTTTTATGATTCAATGTTATTTCATATAAATTTGGATTGCTTCATAATATAACCACTTTTCCCTCCTTTATCTTTATATGTCTGAATTTATATAAAAATTGATATTTAATTGTATATTTCGTATTTTTAATACTTGTTGAGTTTGCTTGAACTTTCAAGTGTTAGTAATTATTTTTCCATCTGATTTTCTATGGGATTATTTTTAATTACTTTCCTTTAAGTTTAGATGAATTAGTGTTTAAGCCGTGAATATTATTTTGTTTGATACTGAGATAAAATGTTAATATATTTTTTGTTATTTATTTCATTTTTATATATATTTAAAAATATTTTTATTTTGATATAATTTAAATATTTAAATATATATTTGGTACCTGAATCAGGTATTTTTTTCCTTAAGTTGGTCCATAATTATTTTTATTTTCAAATAGGTATCTAAATTTTAATTTCATCCATTATTTAATAATTTTATTAAATTTTTTAACTTTTGATGACGTGACAATATATGATTATACTATATGTATTTTACAACCGAGTCGAACTCAAGTATTGTTGAGCTCGACTCAAACTCAAAAACTTTAAAAATAAGCTCAACTCGACTCAAAAACTCACAAGCTACAAATTATCAAGTTCAACTCGAACTCGAAATATTATATTTAAACTTGAACTCGAAAAGGCTCGAACTCAAAAAAAAATTTGAAGCTCGATTGAAGCTGAAATTCGAGCTCGATTGAAGCAAAAGAACAGTTCGCTCTATGCTCACTAAAAGCTCAATGATTTTGAATGCAAAATTGTCTTATTATTTATAAAAGTCAGTTGGGATGCTCTTATATGTTTCTTACTCATGTCGGATTGTTTTAAAAAAAAAATTAAACCAAACGACATCGTTTGTTATTATTTTTTCAGCCCAAATTTATTTTTTGATTATAGTTATATAATTATATTTATTATTTAATATGTTTTACCTTAAATATTATGTTTTAGTTGATTTGAATCATTTGTTTCACTTGATTTTATGGTTTTTAACTTATATATGTTATGACTTCTGATATTTGTATATATTTTAATATTGTAAACTTTAAAAAAGTGTTACATATATATTAATATTGCTTTAAATATTATGTAAAATTTAAAAAAAATATCATTTTATATAAAATCCGGTTCAAATCGATTGAAGCACGATTGAACCAGTACCTTCACCGATTCAAAGCCGATCCAATTTTAAAAACATTGGTTTTTACGGTATCGAATTTTGATTTAATTCCAGGTTTATCTGCAACTATGATTCAGATATTATCACATCTGAATGATAAGTGAACCGGTGTTCTCCTATAAATTTACACTAATGTCCTTGTTGCTTTTTGGGGGTTGAAAGGAATATCATTTAGCATATTCTCATTCCCAAGCTAATCAATTAATTGATTAATTTTGTGATGATGTCTTCCTTTGGAAATATACCTATTTTCCTTTTATTCTAGATTTCGTATTTCTCAAATTCTGAATTGCACAATAATAACTATATTTTATCCGCTACTTAAAAACAAAAAACAAGTATTAAAAGTAGTGGGTAATATTCTCATGCAAAAATGACATTCTATATGATAAATTAATTATAATTTGATTTTGATTATTTATTATTATTTAAAAGATAAAAACACCCTTAAAAAATTAAACTCTTGCAAAAACAAATTTATATAATTAAATTCTTATAAAAATCCATTCCGTTAATAACAATCATCATTTACTGATAATAATAGTTAATATAGGATAATGGACTAATTGATTTTTTAGGTTCACAGTAATTCAATTGATATCGTTTATAAGAACTTTTTTATGTAAGATAAGATTCATTGTGATAATATACATAATAAAATATTATAAAATTTTAATTAATTGATGAAATAATCTTCTTCTTTTAAAGGAAAAAAAATAGTAAGAGGGACACTGTATGGGCTGTCTAAAGGATTAAACTTTGAGATTAATGTCATTAGAAGATTTGATAATAATTTTTTTTACATCATTTATAGTTCAATCAAGAAAGAGAAATAAAATGTAAGTTAACTCTTCATAGTTGATATAAATAAAATTAGATTATTTTAATTTTTTTCTAAAAAATGCATTTGATTTTAGTTTAATTGTATTTTAATACCGAAAATATTAGATTAAATGAAATACATATATATGATTATCTTTCTTCTGAAAATCTAGCACTCAACATAATGGTAAATTCAATGAAATAAAAATAAAAATTAATTTTCAAAAGGAAGATAATTTTAAAAGATAATAAGTTAAAATTGAATCATTAAACAAATAAATTAGTTATCCCTAATTTATATTATAAATTTCAGTCTAATATATTTATTATTTCCCCTAATTGTAATTGGGAAAAGAGTAATAACAGGGGAAAAAAGGGGTATATTTGGAATGAAAATTGGGTTTGGTGGTATCGGCCACAGCTGCAGTCTTCCGACTCTGGATTTGATATATATAAAAGGAAAACCATCACTTCCCACTGCACACTCCACCTAAAACCAAACACACTCCGCCGCACCAACCTTCCATCGATATCCTTTTCTACTCCTTTACCAACCGAAGATCAAGACACCCCAACTAACTTCAATTACTGTTCTTCCAAATTCAGATTTAAGATTAAATCATCCCTAAACCAATCAAACAAACAACAGAAATGGACTCCGATTACGGCATTCCCAGAGAGCTTTCCGATCTCCAGAAACTCCGATCTCTGTATCAACCCCAGCTTCCTCCTTGCCTCGAGGTCTCTCCTTTCTCCACCTACATCTCGTGTTTTATTATTTGTAATCGTTGATTTTTTCCTATTTCTTTTGCTTTTTTATTATATTTCTCTTTTTGCTTTTGTTTGGATCTGATTTTTTTTCTTGTTAATCTTTTGTTCTGCATGTAGACTAATTAGATTTTTTGTTACTAACTAACGATTCATTTAATGCTTCAGGGAACAACTGTCAGGGTTGAGTTTGGTGATACCACTACATCTCTAGACCCAACCGATGCTCAAACCATTGCGCGTGCTTTTCCACACACTTTTGGCAAGCCTTTGGCTCACTTCTTTAGGCCGACTGCCAAAGTACCTGCTGCTCAGATTATAACTGAGCATCCAACTATTAGGTGCTTGTTATATTACACTTCATGATCCCCTCTCCCCGTTTTAGGCTAATTTTAATGCAACATTTGCTTCTACTTGCTGCATCCTTCATCATTTCACTTTTCCGTGGAATTGTTGGCATTAATTCATGTTCATGTTGCTGCATGGATATATTTATGTGTACAGATCTTTTTATTTGTCTAATTACCAGATCTTCTTGCATAACAGGGTTGGACTTGTCTTTTGTGGGAGACAATCCCCTGGTGGGCATAATGTCATATGGGGCCTGCACAAAGCTCTCAAAATTCACAACCCGAATAGCACTTTGCTGGGCTTTTTGGGTAAGCTGCGCTCAGCTTAAATGATGCTATACAGTCAACGCAATGATACACATACACGATACAATTATATTGGTGCACACGATCAAAACTCATACATAATTATAAGTACACCATACTCCTCTACATGTCCATAAATAGATTACACACTTATATGTTGCAGATGTGATTTGCTTAGCTTAGTTTTATTTTTCTAGTATTCCGTTGCAATACAACTGTATGTTTGTGCTTGTTATTCTCTATGTGACGGGTGATTCTTCTACCGCTCCTGCTAACAGGTGGTACTCAAGGTTTATTTGCGCAAAAAACTCTAGAGATCACTGATGATATTCTTTCGACCTACAAAATCAAGGTAGGTTTTTTAATGAGCCAATCTTATGTAAAGAAACGGCTTTGATTTTATATGGTTCTATAATTTAACATGCTTCTATGTGCTTTTTGATTGAGAAGGTGGTTATGATCTGTTGGGACGGACTCAGGATCAAATTAGAACAACTGAGCAAGTTCAGGCTGCACTAACTGCCTGCAATGTTTTGAAGTTGGATGGCCTTGTAATTATTGGAGGTGAATTAATTCTTAAGGTTTACAACATGCTATGATAAGTGAGTGGAAGTGACCAAGTAAGAGTTATGTTTGGCTTGTAGGTGTAACATCAAACACAGATGCTGCTCAACTTGCTGAAACATTTGCTGAAGCCAAATGTCCAACAAAGGTAACTTCCACGATTAGATCTCTATACTGCAACAACTGTTTTGGTTCTTCTGTCTCTATTTCAATTGGATGTTACCCTCAAAATCTTGAAATGTGTTGTGTTCCAGGTGGTTGGTGTTCCTGTTACGCTGAATGGAGACTTTAAGAATCAATTTGTTGAAGCTAATGTTGGTTTTGATACAATATGCAAGGTATCAATCTTAAACATTTAGGAATTTACATTGTAGTAGTAGTTAAAGTTAAATTCAGGAGAAAAGACATCAAGCAGATTCATTAACTTGCTGATGGAATTGTCACACTTGAAACTTTTAAATTTGATGTGCAATTTGCTTGCAGGTCAATTCCCAACTTATCAGTAATGT